CCACGGATGCACTACCCTTGCCCTCGATGGAGGAGGCTGGGAAAGTAGTGCACTGACATTTTGAAGGTCTGAAAACATGTGGGCAAGCATTTTGTACATAAGTTCTGTCACACAAGCAACTTCCGTCAGTGAAAGATGACACAAGCTGTGCAATTCCAGAGACCTCGCACTTTGTATATACATCATTAGTTGTGCCATGCTGTACCCTTTCAGATCCTTTTAGAGTTTCACCAGGGTTATCCGGGGTTGTTGTTTTTTTGAGATCTTGCTAATCGGCGAGGACACAAAGCCGGATCCCACGGAATCAACACCATTGCCTTCAACGAAGGAGTCTTTGACCTGATGGTAAATGTATGTAAATGTTTTAAGTAGTTAGAACTATTTGTTTAATGTCAGCTGCGCAGTGTCATTTTGTAGAGCCGGCCTTGTCAGTCTTTTTGTTTGTGGCCCGTGCTTTGGTAGAGTTTGGAGCTCGTCTTGCCATGTGACCAGGACACAGAGCAAGAAACCATGGAAGCACCAACATTGCCTTCAATGGAGGTTGTTGGGACGGGGTGGTAAAGTTATGTACTGACATTTTGTAGGAGTAGTGAACAACTTTGACCTTTGACGTGCTGTGCAATGCCATTTTGTAGTATTGAACTGGCTCGGTCAGTCTTTGTGTTTGTGGATGTTTGTGGCGTTTTTTTGGTAGGGATGAAACTTTGAGAGAGGAGTTCCACGCGCGCTGCTGTTTGGAGCTCTTGCCATGTGGCCAGGACACAAAGCCAGATTTCACGGACGCAATGGTTTTGTGCGCGGTGGAGGCTTGAGGGAGGAGGATGCATGATCTTGGTTTATGATAGTTTATGTAATGAGAACACGTGGGCAAGCATTTTGTACAGAAGTTCTGTCATACAGTGTTGCGGAGTGAGTGCGTGCGGACCCAGAATTTTGGCCCAACTGTTGACAAGTGCATACCAGACAGAAGTGTGAGCCATGCAAGCTTGGCGGATCTTTCTGTTGTTCGTTCTAGCGCCTGCGGCCCTCGGTGCTAAGCAACTTCCGTCAGTGAAAGATGACACAAGCTGTGCAATTCCAGAGACCTCGCACTTTGTATATAAATCATTAGTTGTGCCTGTACCCTTTCAGATCCTTTTAGTATCCTTTTGTATTTGGCCCTATTTTGAACTGCAGGGGCTTGTAAGCTGAGGTGGTTTCGGGCCGAAGATCACATCAAATCTTTGACACACTGGGCACGTGGATTGAATGCCCAGACCCAGATCTACGAGGCCTTGGACGTTTTTGGTGCTAGCCAGCGTGTATCCAAGACTTGGGTGGATGCGGGTTTCCGCTCAATTTCTTTTGATATCAAGCTGAACAAGCAGCACGACATGTGTAGCAAGCAGGGATTTTGTTCACTTCTCTTCAGTGCGATGCGGCTGCTTGCTTTGGCACTGTGTGCTTTCAGACCCTCAAGGACTAAACCTTTTCAGGAAGCTTTCGTTATTTTTGTTTACAGTTTGATAGCCCGTTGCCGTGGCGCATCGCAGTGAGGTTGGTCAAGAAAGGGCTTGTCATTCTGGCCCCTCCGTGTTCTCTTTTCGGTCCAGCTTGCGCCTCCGTTCATAAGCGCAGCAAAGAACACCCCGAAGGGGACCAGAGCATATTTAAAGTACGCCTCGCTCAGCGTATTTGGAAGAACACTGTCGCTTGGTTCCATGCGTTATTGACTTCGGGATACTTCGGGACATTCGATAGTTGATTACCACAGAAAACCTGAGAATCTACTGTAGTGCTGAGGGATTCTGGTATAGAATTCCTACTTGGCGATTGGTTGCCCTTTTGTTTTCAATGGTTTTCATAATTCACAGGGATATGGGTTGTGGTTTACAAAATGACAGGATTTCAACATATTTCAACATACAGATGTTCTACAAAATGATGGGCATGTGGATTGGATGCTGAGGCAAGCTTCATGTGCATTCTCTTCCAGCTACGCCCAGATGTTTTCTTTGTCATTGAACAGCCGGCACAATCTTGGGCGTATAAGCAGCCCCACTGGCAAACTGTGGTGAAGCTGCTGGGGCTGTGTCTCAGCAAACATAGTTACATATAGTTATATGATGTTATATGTTAATTATGTTATATATTGTTATATATAATACAATGTTATACACGTCATACATTCATTCCCTACAATTTGCGTGGCTTCACATTTTTGTTTACAAAATGCTTTGCTTTGACAGGGTGACTACCACAACATGGTTGTGCTTTTTCGACCATGACCTTCTGAAGTGCACACATCTTCAATCGAATATGAGGCCAGATAGCTTTGAAAGCGATCTTGATTGAATAGATGTTCTAGTTCAACCTCTCTGCCTCATTTGGAACCTATGTTTGGCAGGTCAATCGGAGGCCTTAAGCGCAAATTGACTAAGCAGGACAGGTTGACGTTTACAAAGAGGTTCCAACGCCGCCAGAGCAACAGGAAGGTGAAAAAGGACCGGGATTGACCAAATGTGTGCATGTCCTGTCATTTTGTAGAGCACCAAATGATACCAAATGTTTTTTGGCAAAAGTGTTGCTCACTTTTGCTACAAACATCTACAGACCAAATCAGACTGGATTGATCTGGATAGGTTTTCTTACAAAATGGTTGGTTCATGTTGGTTCCATATATGAATCATGACCCATGGTTGTTGAAGGACTATTACCGACCTTGCACAAAGCGGGATGGATCTCGCGGATGGAGCGGCGGGCGAGACTTGCAGAGCAGCGCAGACTTTACAAAGGTTTTTTGCAACAAGCTGTTGCATTGCTGGCTGGACGCCCAAGGTGTACAGTGAATGCTTGGGCTCGACAGCGTAAGAATTCCTAATGTTTCCACACTCAAATGTGTGATGGAAGGGCTGGACTGGGCATGATGATTGACGTGTTTAGTACTGTTCAGCAATTATCGTTCAGTGGCGCAAAGGAAAATGCTAGGCCCGGTAGGCACAGGGACTGAAGGACTGCATTTGAAGTACCTGTCCGCGTTTCTCAAAGACCTAAAGACCGCTGTTATTCATCGATGCCAGGGTGGTACGTCAGCTGAGAAGCAAGAGAATTTTGGGTGCATGGACTGAGTTTTGCTGCCTCTTTTGTCTGCTTAACAGAGAACGTGTCCACGTAGCCAAGGAAGGCTTCAGATGAATTGCTCAATGAGCCAGATCAAGGCAATGAATACTGTATCAGTTATATAGTATTTTTTCTAGACATGGGAAGTATTTCAGTTGTAGTGTTGGAATTGAACAAGGCCAGGACTGCTGGGGCACTTTGGAAACGCTCTGTGCCAACATGCCCTTGGACGTGACTTACCCAGAGGTCACTGAAGGCTGGAATGACAGGTGACATGACCTTTCAAGTTCAACACACAGCAGGCAGGCGCCAGGCATTTTGTAGTGTGTCTGCAGGAGTCAACCCACACCTCGTCATGGAGGTAATCGCTGAAGTTCCGGAATTGGATGGATTTTCAGCAGAAGGCTGATCAAACAAGACAAACCTTCTAATGATCTTTCATTTTGTATCAATTGGATTCATTGGGTCACATAACAAAATACACCCAGCACACGCTATGTTGCACTGCCATTGCGACAGGGGATGTGGAAATGCCTGGAAGTCAGGAGAGTGACCTGATTTGTGCTCAATAACCTGG